GGAGGTGGCGAGTACACCTCTAATGAGTTCCGCTACCTTCTTGAAAAAGAAGGGATAGAACCACAGCAGACAACACCCTACTCTCCGCAGTCAAATGGAGTGAGTGAACGTGCCAATCGGACTATTATCGGCACAGCAAGGTCTCTTTTGCATGCAGTCAGCCCTCTAAAAGAATATGGGGAGAAGCTTCAATGGCAGCAATCTACATCCGAAATCGGTTGCCTACACGGGCACTTGGAGATGGCAGAACTCCATATGAGAAGTGGTTTGGGAAGAAGCCGTCGTATGACAATCTATGTGTCTGGGGGTGCATTGCCTATGCTTAGGTACCAAAGGAGACCCGGAAGAAGTTGGACAAGACCGCGCGGAAGTGTATGTTTATCGGTTATACCAACACGTCTACACACTATCGGCTTTACGACCCTATTAAGCACCAGGTTCTTCTTTCCCGAGATATTATTTTTGAAGAATCATCTTCCTACTATCCCGTAGATGATAATGCTGGAAGTGAATCTCGCCGCTACTATGCGCCGGAAATCCAGCCCTGGGAGGAACGTGAAGCCTGGGCTGATGAATTTGATGAACCAGAAGAATTGTGGATAAGAACCAGACCTGGAGAGGCAAACACTGGTAGTGAGAAGGCCAGTGATGAGAGAAACCTGCCAGGCAAGGTGGCAGAGCTGGAGGTAGAAGAGAGTATAGAGGAAAAAGAAACCAGTAGCAGAGGAGGTACTTCGAGAAAGAAAGTATCAAGGATGTTACAAGAGCTTTAGTCTGATGGAGAGAGTAGTTTCTGGGACACTCATGTGGGAGAGCCCCCTCAGATTCATGAAGGCCATCGGACCTGCAGACAACAGTCTGATACCAGTACGCAAAGTTTGTCTAAAGCTATAATATCTACAGTGTATATGGTTGCACCAGGTCCGGTTAACTATAAAGCTGCAATGGAGACTGAGGAAGCGGAGCAGTGGCAGGCTGCTATTGATTGGGAGTGTTCCTCGATTCTCCATAACAAGGTTCTTAGATTTGTGGCATCAATCCCGGAAGGAAAAAGAGCGATTCCTACAAAGCTTATTTTGCAAAAAAAGCTGGGGCCAGAAGGAGAGACAATGCGATACAAGGCACGCTTAGTGGCACAAGGTTTCCGCCAAGTGGCAGGATTGGATTTCACTGAGACCTTTGCTCCTGTTGCCAGTTTATCAAGTGTACGGATAGTGCTTGCAGTGGCCAGTGCACGTAGTTACTGTATACGTCAGATGGATGTTGTAACAGCCTTTCTGGGGAGTGAGTTGGATGAGGAAGTATACATTCAGCTTCCAGTTGGTATTCTGGGGGGTCCAAGAATTGCGCGTCTCAATCGGAGTTTATATGGCCTCAAGCAATTACCCCAGTATTGGTATACAACTATAGATACCTTCCTAGTTTCCAACCTAGGATTTCAATGTGGACGGTTCGATTGCTGCATCTACACTCATCAGAATGGAGCCATCCTTGCCCTCTATGTTGATGATGTCCTTGTTACGGGGGAGCCTAGAGTTGTTCAAAATGTTTGCATGGTGTTGAGAGAGAATTTTGAGATGGTAGACCTGGGCTCTGTTGGGCATTTCTTGGGAATGATGGTGTCCCGTAAAGGCGATCAAGGGAATGTTTGCATCAGCCAAGAAGGTTATATTGGACACATTCTGGCAAAGTTTGAGATGCAAGAGTACAAGCCAGTGGCGACACCTATGGATAGGGATAAGCCATGGGTGAGGTTGAAAGAAGAGAGAGCTTGTGATAAGGAGCGCTACCAACAACTTATTGGAAGTCTGGGGTGGATTGCGATTGGATCTCGACCAGACATTTCCTTTGCGGTCTCTTACCTGTGTAGATTTAATGCAGATCCGTCCTATCAGCATTGGATCTACGCGAAAAGAGTCCTTCGATATCTGGCTGGAACGGCCCATCTGAAGCTTAAACTGGGAGGCGATTGCAAACAGAATGTGAGGTTGAATGGCTTTGTTGATGCAGATTTCGCAGGAGACACTACTTCCTTAAAATCAACAACTGGGTATGCTCTTGTTCTGGGATCCGCATTGGTACAGTGGCATTCACGGCAACAGTCAATCACAGCAACAAGCACAGCTGATGCTGAATTTATCGCATGTGCAACTGCAGTTCAAGATCTGCTATAGTTTCGTCAGCTAGTCAACGAGATTACCCAGTCATCATTACCAGTCAGCCTACTCTATAATGACAATCAAGCTTCTCTATCGACGTTTGGAGATACAAAATATCGACCTCACTCTAAGCATATTGGTGTTCGGGTTTGTATGGTATGGGAGATTATTGAGGAAGGGAGTGAGATAGTTTTGAAGTATTGTCGGACTGAGAATATGGTTGCTGATGGCTTTACTAAACCACTTGTGGGTGGTTTGCATTTGATGTTTGTGAAACTGTGTGGGTTGTGTTGATTTGCATGGAATTTGGAGTGGGTTTGAAATTGTTTGTATTTTTTTTTTATCCTTTGTTTTCGTGGAGGTATCCTGGATGGCACCAGTAGGGGGAGTGTTGGCAGTATGTACTGGTGGCTATCCTGATCTGTATAGGGTTGTGTAGTAGGGTTGGAGTGGACCAAGAGAGAAGGCTTTGTGTGTGTGTATATAGCCTCTATCTCTGGCATTGCTGGAGACAATTAAGTCTTTCCATCCATCATCTACATACAACACTATCCTTTGCCCTATCCGCTGTTTTTCCCATTTTATTTCTCACATGCTCCTTTTTCCTGGATCGAATAGCATCGTAGAGTGTATCAGTCTAGAAAACTTTAGGATGTGGAATGCTGCTTATAGGGGTGGAGATGCTTTCCACATACACATGTGCAGCACTCTACTAGAACCAGTGATCGATTAGTGTGGCGGACTTCTCGGGAATCAGCACTCCCGTGGCAATCCCCCAGTCAGAAGCGGGCTCAGCAGAGAGTTTTGGCACTTAATCCTATCAGAGAAGTGAGGTATTTATGGAAAGTTCGACAACACAAGCAGGAGCGCGTTTGGTCCTCTTATCGGGATTAAAGAAATTTACCTCTGAGTATCATATCCCCCGGCACAGCGAAAGGAAGGATATCAACCCTTAGTTTTTTCTTCATATTATAGCATGACACTTGTCCAGAAAGGTAACCAGGATCAGATGAATCCCGGATCCCACACCAGTATAGAAGCTGGAACCATCTACAGCAAGGGGGTATCTGCTCCTTTCATCTAGCAAGAACAAGGGACCAATTCAGAGGCTTTCAATAAGAACTGTCTAAGGCGGAAAAAAAAACAGAAAAACATGCTATCATATGGTATGATAATAATCATAACCTCTCTCTCTTCAGCCAGATGCACCTTTTGAATCTCTCGAACCAAATCGGTTCGATAAATACCCCCAGATTCCGCAAGTACAAGCCAAGCAAGCAAGCAAGCAAGCAGCGCTTTCAATCCACACTCCAGACTGCGATCCCAACTATCCTACCCCCACAAACAACCTCCAACCCCACACGGCCAGTTGTGTGAAAAACGTATCATACAGAGAGGCACGATAATCACGACACAATAAATCGCCGGAAAGTGGAAATCACACACCACCACCACGTGAGATGTGCGGCGCATTACTTACCGAAACCCTTATTCCGCGATTATCACTCATAGACACACTCAAGTAAAATCAGTTTTTTTTTTTTTCAGAGAAAAACGCAATCGAGCACTCTCCATCCGTACATATATTCTCCGAAAACGATATGTTACTCTCCCCCGAGATTTTTTTTTCACCACGGCCCTTCTCCGCAATAACCGCTTTCTGGAGATGCAGGGGAAAGCAAACATATCCTGCTGGACAAGTGGCTTTTAAAAAAGGAAGGTAAGATTATCGCTGGTAAGCAAGGGAGAAAACCCAGGAGTCTATCCACCTACACATGAACCCCCCAAATAAAACTCCCATAGGGAACAAAGACGAGGGATTTGGAAGCGAGAAAATACCGTATCACAACACGCACCAAGAGTCTCGCCAAATTCCGAGAGCTCATCCAATGGATTATTATATAGAACATAGTGTCTCGTGGGGCCCAGGACCAGCAGTATGGTAAACCCGGCTCATATCATAGTCCCCCCCCCCCCCATCCACAACGCTACTATTTTATTATACACACCTCCAGACACCAATGAAGAAAGAAGAAGACCTGTCGGATATCCTAGCCCGTAATCCATCTATAATATCCATCCGTTCACCCTCTCCTACTTGAGCAACCCAATACCCCCCCCTCCTCAAACACACACAGGAACACCGCGAGCGCACAAGCCATCGTACGAGTATCCAAAACTCGCAACTATAACCCCACCGTGCGCTAAAAAGCAAGCATTAGCATCCAGTGCCAGGCGGCAGCCCCAGCACCACGCCACACTACATCAACAATGAAATACCCCTCTTGCGCGGGGGGAACACTACGGTCGGGTGGTAGGGCAACTTTTACGAGCTTTTACGGTTGGTTCGTGAGCCGTTGTGACACGGGGGAGGAGTGCCATGCACCAGAGGCCTTGTCCCCGTAGGTACACGGGAGGGGGGGCATCATACATCGTAAGGAGCAGAGTACCTTAGGGATGGGGGCGAGATGGAGTCCCTCCGGTGTAGGTGGGACGTGGATGTGGAGTGGGTGGCGTAGCATGGTGTGCTGTAGTGTAGGTTCAGGATACGAGGAGCATCGAAAGCTCTTTTGGAAACGTGGTGGGCGTACACGCAGGTAGGTTTGCCTAAGCGCGGGGGAGCGAGGATACGGTCCCCGACCGTCTTTAGCGCCATCATGTGCACCCAGGTTTACGGCATCTCAGGAAGTCGGGCAGGAAGGTACATCGCCCAACCGCAAGTACAAACACCAAAAGGAAAATAGATATACAAACCATCCTATTAAAATTTACTTTACAGAGTGCAAAACCCCCAACGAGTGATCAACCATGCCCGAGTGACTCCCTATGACTACAAACCACCTACCCCTCTCTCCCCTTGCCAGCAAACAGCCCCGGCAACGCTGCCGCAGCCTCCGCAACGCTGGGCGAGTAATGCCGCCTAAGCAGCACAGCCTCCCACCCAGTTGCTGCAAATGGATTGCTCATCTCCGGTTCATCGACGTACCCGTCCCAAACACCGTCGCCAACCACCTCTTCCGTGGAGAAAAGCGCCGACAGCTTCCGTCCATGCTTGATAGCCAGCTTGTTCAGCAGGCCAAGCATCGCCAGCGTCGACTTCTCTGGCGTCTGCAGCGAGGCCGTTAGCAGGCGCTTCGTGAACGCCGCGAGGCGCAGCGGAGTCGTGGACTTTTGGTGTGCGGTTGAGAAGAAGATTGAGGAGAGGGCGCGGAGGAGGAGTTCGATTTCTGTGGAAAGGTTTATGCGCGAGGAGGAGGGGGGGAGGGGGGGAGCGGGGAGTGCGGGTCCGGTAAGCGCAGGGATTTGGTGGTTAGTTCTAGGTCAGATGAGAGGGAGAGTGGGAGGAGGGTGGCATAGAGGTGGGTTGTGAAGAAGGTTAGGTCTATGGTTATTCCTCCGCCTATTTTCGGTTGTCAGCTCAACCCGGACAGCGGGATGGATTAGTAGAGGGTACCTTGTCCGGATAACAATGCAAAGGCAGTGATAATGCATAACAACGCCTCCCGAACTGAATTCCGATTGGCCCCCTCGTCTTTCTCCCCCTCCATTACCCCCCCACCCTCCCCAGCCTCCTCCTTCGCGTCAGAAACCAGCTCCTTCAGGGCAACCAACAAATCCCCAAAGAAATCAAGATTGATCAAATGCGCATACTTCGCCAACCCCTCCAACGTGGCCCCCATAAGACCCGGCGGCTTCATCTTCAGAATCCGAAAGTATGTGGAAAACACCAATTTTAGCGTCTCAGACTGCCTCTTCTCACGCTCCTCGTACGAGACGGTAGCGTCCGCTTCCAACATCTCCTTCTCGGTCACCTTCCGCTCCTTCTCCAATTTCCTGGCCTTCTTGGACCTGAACTCGCGGTCCTTCTTCTTGCGTTTTCGGGGGTTATCAACGGCAGAATTGGAGCCCTTCACGTCGAGTTCAGAAAGGAGGCGCAGGGACAAGAAGGTGTTTAGCACGGACTCGTCCACGAGATAGTGCTTCGCTTTCATCATCTTGGACAGTAATTGCACCGCTTCGCAGGATGGGCCTCCATCCCCATCTGTATGGAACAACTCATCGAGGGTAGTCCGACACTTGACGAATGTCTCGTCGACATTTCTCACGCTAACCCTCTCGACAATAATCTTCAACAATTCCGTCCGGAAATTAAAATGCGGCACCGCAAGTAGTAACCCACAGGCGCAATTCACGGCAGCTTTCGCAAGGGCGACGGTGTCCTCATCACTGCCACCCCTCCCAGCTATCGATCAACCCGCAAAGTCAGCCTCACCCCCCCGCCCTCTCTGGAAAAAATGAAGACAAACCTCTAGCCAAACCCCCCAACAACTTCACAAACCCCGAATACCCACTCACAAGCGCCTGCTCAAACCCACGTACCTTTCGCACCTCCTTCGTAATCTTAGCCCTCATCTCCTCCTCGCTCAGCGCACGGATACGATACCCGGGTATCAAATCCTTATACACCGCCAACATAGTCCCGATCGCCAACATCCTAATTCGCACTGCAGCATCATCAGATATCTCCTTCAACCGCTTCAGTAAGCCCACATTCTCTTCAGGGTCCTCGTTAACCAGCGTGGCAATATTCGCCAATTCCTCCTTTGCAATTATTATTCTTTTCCGCAGCGGCAGCGGCTTCTCCACCGCTACTGGAGCGGCGGGCGGTAGCGATACCCGGGAGGGATCAATCCCATCCTTTTCATCTTCATCCTCCTCGTCGTTGGACGCGGACTCGGTATCCCCATCGAGGGTTGCTGCAGAAGGGATATTGGGGACTTGAACGATCCCCGTTGCTGTCTTGATGGGCAGTCGTGTGTGTTCCTGCTTCTCCTTCGCTCTGCGTTTTTTGTTGCCCTTGCGGGACCGGTTCTCGTAAGATTGCTCCAAGTTCCAATGTGCCGCCGCGGCGAATGGGTGACCGGAGTGTGACTTTGCCTTCATCCTTCCCTTTCCCCTCACCCGCTCTGCGCTGTGCTGGGGGTGCTTGTGGTGGTGGCCGGTTAGGGGGGGATAACTTACCAGTAGCTAGCGATGATTTGGCTCGGTAATGCAGTTCCTTCAAATAGATTTTTTTTCTTTCGGGGATACAGGGTTTGCCTTGTCTTGGCAGTCGACAGAAAAAAACGGCTACGAGTAGTTGTGCAACTCCCACTGCTCCCCCGAGCCCTAACCCTGAAACCGTGTGCCTCACCGACAGGCTAGAAGGAAGCACGTCAGGCGAGTTGGAACCTATGATTCACTGGTAAATGATGTCACAGCTCCCCCCTTCCTCCCCTCGTGGGAGCTCCTACGATAACATGGATCCCTCATCGCTTCTTGATCTCTGTGGAAACCTAACCATCTTCTACTCGAGTACCGGTACCGTACCCCCTCCACGAGTGGCGATTGGCTGGCTCACTTCATTCTGCCGCACCTCCATCACTGGTACTCGAGCACCATAATTCCGCTGCCGGCATGTACTCGAGTACGTGCCCACTCGGGGAAAAGAGTAATTGTTCACTCCGGAGTTCTGCACTTCTCTCACCTCCATTTCTACACGGCGAACACCAGTAAATTTATACATCAAAAAACTTTTCTGTATTTTTCAGTTTCGAGGTCATACAAATCCACATAGCAACTATGCCATGATAGCTCCCGGCCATGCTATGAAAAAGATAATATGAAACACCGGATATGAGAGCTATCGATACAGAAAGGAAGGGAAAAAGGGAAATAAGAAAGGGAAAGCCGATAATGAAGTTCGCCGTTAGCCCTCCCAAAGTCTGATGCTTAATATGCAGAAAAAGAAAAACACCGAGAATGTCACCCTAGCCAATTGAGGCCGTGGTAAGAGGAAAAGGAAAGGGAAAAGGGAAAAGAAACAAGACCCCCCGACTCGCAAAGATTAAGAAGCGAGGGAAGAGAAGATAAAAAGAGAGGAGAAATGATACAACCTCGTACAACACCCCTAGTTTATACAAAAAAAAAAGAAAAAAAACTGCAAGATGAGACCATTGGCGTCAAAGATCAAAGCGGAGTATCTAGTACCCATATCCATAGTATCCGTAGATCCCCGTAACTTCGCCGTATACGACACCAACCTTCCGCCCACCCCACCGCTTTCCGCCCATCTTCCAGGAACGGGAACCAGTTTCCTCCGTCAAACACTTGGCAATCTTCTCAGAGCCAGGGACGGTTCCAGGCCCAGCCCTGACGTACCATGCTCGTCGGTGCTTGCTTTCGACGGCCCACCCCAATTTCTTGGCCGAGATGCGCCGCTCCTTCAGGCCGTCGGTGACCTTCTCATTGAGCTCCAATACTTGCAGTGGAAAGGAGGAAGGCACGAGGAGTTGGCACTTGTTGGTATCGACGAGGGTGGACGGGTTAACGGAGGGTATTCCGGTAAGGTCTAGATAGTGAAGGTTCGACCTTGCTCCGTCATGGCGGGGCCCGTCCTGCCGGATGATAAGGTTCAAATCGGCGATGCTCAAATCGGCATATCCGATGGACAGCTCTTCAAGATGCCTGGAAAGCCTCCGAAGTTCGGGGACATGGTCTCTGGTGACCTTTGCCCCGGAGAGATTCAGGGAGCGAAGGGCAGTGGGCAAGAAGGGGAGAAGCACATCTACATCCGTGGTGGACAGCAGACGGTACCTGCCCGTATCAAACAAGAGATTGAGGTAAACCAAATCCCGGGTGGCGGGATGGTTGGTGAGGAAATCGACGACGGCGGGGCCTGTCAAGCGGTTGCACTTGGACAGAGACAGATGGGTGAGCTTCGCAGTATGGGGTAGAGCATGCAGTGTATCGTCGGTGATTTGAGTATGAGTCAAGTCCAGGTGTGTCAAATTGGGCAATCGGGGCAGCAAGGTGGCATAAACCGACGAGGGGAGCGTGTTACAACCGTGCATGCCAAGCCTTCTAATGGGAAGGGTCATGGGCAAACGTGGGTTTCCGGGAGAAATGACACTCAAAACACCATTCTTAAAGCATCTCGCAGTAGCAGCGCAAAAGTCCACCCCATTAAGCCGGGGAAGCTCGCAGAATAATTTCTCTAGCACTCTCTCATCCACATCTTCATCCATACCCTCAGAGGCAAGGAACTCTCGCAGATTGGGAGTAATATCGAGACAAGTGCGCAGAGTGGTCGCGGTCAATTTCTGGATCTCATGATTCATACGCTTGGTCCTGCCCAAGCCCACAGAAGTAAAGTAGGAGAAGTCCAGCCTCTTCACCAAATAGCCCAACTCGGGATACTTGGAGATCTGTGCCAGGAACTTTGAGAAGATGGACGAGTGGGGGAAGGCAACCTTGGAATACAAGGTCGACAGGGTGGCAATGTAGAAGGTGCGGGAGACGAGCAAGCACGATGCCAAATCCTTGTTCCTAGGGCTATAGCCATTGGTAGGCATCTCGATTGCGAGCTGGGGGATGATTTGATCTTTGGGCAGGGTCAGCGAGACGACAAGCAGCGTTGGGGGGATGAGATGAATGACAGCACAAAAGACCCACCGAAAATCTCCACAGGTAGGAGCTCTATCGGGGCCCGCCCCTTCTCAGAAACCATCGGGTGTTCATAGTGAATCCCCATTCCTCCGATAGAACGAGCGGGAATCAGAGCAGGCGAAGGGAAGGCTTGATCGATTCGTTGGTCGGTGGGTGGAAGGGCAATGGTGCGATAGAAAGACTGGCGGATGTCGTTAGGGTTTTCCTGGAGGGTATGCGTGGCGACTTCTAGCATCGTGAGTGCCCAGGGAAGGACAGGCCTTCTTTATAGCAGCCAACCCGGAGGGGAATAAATCCAATTAAGCGGTAGAGGGGGGGGGGGGGCGGTAGACAAGGTCAAGGTCCTAATGCACAGCAGTTTGTTCGACACGGAGGATTTTTTTTCTTTTCTTTCTTTCCTTCTTTTTTCCTGGATTGAGCTGCGGTCAGGGTGTAAGGGTACCGTAGGTTACCAAGAACTAATGTGCTCTGTCTCTTCCCCCGAGACGAAAGGAAGTCTGTGACACTGTGCGTCGGTTTGTGGTGCGTGAGGATCGGAAGGATGTAGACTACCGGGATGTGTGAGAGAGGGAGCTACTCGAGTATCATACTCGTACCGTACGTGAGTTGTGTGGTGCGGCACTTTTTCCCTCTTTTATTTTTTTTTTCAATTCTATTTTACTTGATGGGGGGGAGAGAGCGTACCATAGGTTATGGGGTTGTCGGCGAGTACGTACTGTACGAGTACAATACATCCGCCGTACCGGGGCCGCCTATACCGGTATCATATCATACAAGTCTGAGTGATCGGGGCAAGAGGAGGATCACAGACGGGGGAGGGAAGAGGGAAAGGAAGAATGGACCCGATCACATCCCACCAACTGATCAAGCCGATTTTGCCAGCCAGGCTCAGAGAGAAATGGTGTACGAGTACAATACTGTCCTCGAGTACGAGTACTGTAGAGTAGTGTGCGGTGCCGATATCATGTCCACTCCACAATCGAATGGGGGGAGCGTTGATGTCTGACGCCATTCCCGTCAGGGATTGTCAGCTCCATGCCGACGGTCGACACCTCTCGAACGCCTTTCGGGGATGGACCGAGAGGGTGAGCCATCAACCTTCCCAGCAATCGCCCCTCTGACCCGTCACCACCAACCGAAGGAAAGTGCGAGGGCGCAAGTGAAGCGTGATCACGGTTCGTACTTGTACTTGTAGAGGGAGGAATTTCCTGTCCGCATTTCCCTTCCTCTTTGCGAGCATTCTGTGACTAATAGTATTCCGAGAGACACACCACGTGCTCGCCCAGGGGAAAAAAGCTTTCTTCCTTTGCAGCCTCTCGTCCGCTCCTGTCTCCCCCCCCCCAACTGCCCGTCTGTCCGCCTTGCCTGTCCCTACCCGGCCAGCCCTAGCCAGCCCAATGAAGTGCAGCTTTTCTCACCCATCATACTGTACGAGTACCGCGCTCCCTCGCCCAAGCAAAGGGTGCTCGCTGAGAGGTGGCTTACGCGAAGGGGCAGACCGAACCAAGCGCCTGACGCCTCCAGACCGACCAGAGCAGAAATGGAGAAAAAAGAAAAGAGGGGGGAAACAGCGGAAAAGAGTGATGAATCTAAAAGCATGGACATGGAAAAATAGATCTCGTACCGCCACTACAATCCTGCACTCGAGTACCCGGGAGCTTGCCAGATCCCTTTTAGCTCCCTCATTGCTGCTACCTGTAGACTATTTCGCCCCTAGTCTCCCTCGTCACCGTGAGCCCAGTCATTGGGCAACCCGAGAGCTGGAGGAGCTCTTGATCCTTTGATTCCAACATTCCTTTTTCTTTTTCACCCTCTTCTATCCTCACGCAAGCGTCAAGGCCTTGAAGGCGAGGGAGGGCGTTCACCCTCGCGAGGACCTGAGAAGTTGGGATTGGGGCTTTGTCGTTACACACCTGACCGCATTTCATTCCAGCCTTCCCAAACGCTCGCTGAAAGGGGGGAGTGTGAGGGAAGGACGACGACGATGGGCCAGGAGCACACAGAACCGGGGCAGCTGGACATGTAGGAACACAAACGCTGAGCTCGCCCACCCATTACCCTTGCTTTCTGTGGCGCAAAAATAGCAATGATGAAAGAATCACCGTGATATCGTGTGAATTGGAAGGGCTTCAAATCTATCACACACGCATCATACAAATACTCGCACAAAGAAGAAAAAAGAAGGGAAAGAAAAAGAAAAAGAAAAAGTCAACCGTATCTGTGACAAGTTTCTTTTTCGTCTACCATTATTCCATAAATTCCCGGCGGTTCTTACAGATACCGGTACCGTACTCGTATCGGTACTGTGCTCGAGTATCATACTTGCTTTTCCCTTCCACAGCTAGGCAAGCCCACGATTGAGGCTCAGAACTCGCGAGCACACACAAAAGAAACACGGCCCCGCCACGCCCGTTCCCCCACTCCGCAGCCCTGTTTGTGGGAGAGGAAAGGAAAGGGTGATCATGTCGAGGGATAAGGATACGGGCCGCCTTATCTTTTAGGTGAAGCTTTTGGGTGATATCTCTGCTATCTTGTGCCATCCGTCTGTTCCCTTTCACCGTGCTGTGATACATAACATTTAAATACACCTCATCCACCTTCTTTTTGTTTCCCTTCGCGCCTTGTGCCCCTCCCGAGTCTTGTCGCTTTGGTAACTCGCCATCTTTCTCTTTGCAAAGAGCAATGGAATCCCGCAACACATCCGAACACACACACAAAAACCCGAAAGATAAAGGCGAACGAGGTAGGGATGAGAGGGAGAAGCGAAGAGCACCGCTGGCATCTGATACTTCCGATACTGGTATCCTTATTACTGACACATACGAGCACCGTCGCTTGCTACCGACAGCGAGCCAACCACCACTACCGGTACCACCACCGACCACGGTCAGTCCCGGAGTCTCACCCTCGTTCACTCACTCGTTCACCCTCGCTCACATTCGCAGCCACATTACCGCCGCTTCGCGAGATGAAAGGCTATTCGTCAACAGGATGGGGCGAGTGACGGAAGAGGAGGTGGGCAACCTGAAAAACGGTACAACACGGCGAGGTAGGGGGGAACCGTGCCATAATGCCGTACCTACACGGAGTGGAGAAGGAAAACAAAAATAAAAATGAGAGATCACTTGCCCCGCCAGAACCTTCCACCGATGCATACCCCGACGTGCTTACGATGGGGCCAACAAGTCCCGATTCACCGACCGGCTGCCGGCGGAAACTCGTGAGGGGAAGCATGGGGGAAACGTTTACGAATCATAACCAATGTCCGGAGTTCAAACGAGCGGGAGTGAATGTGGAGCGAGGGTGGAACGAACTATGTGGAGGAGGTGGGGGAGGTGGGAGGACACGAGGGCAGGCCTGGTCCTGATCTTTGCACAGTATGGCAGCCAGGTTGGCTGGCTGTTTGTTGCCCTTTGTCGCCAACATATCGTGAAAAGGGAGCGGGGGAGGAGGGGGAAGCGGATCTTAGCTCACCGAAATTCCAACTCTACTCAACACGGGCAAAATACGGTAAACTATCCCCTTCCTTCCTTCTTCCTTCACGATGTCCGCTGTACGCGTCAGGTGAGGAGTTTTTCGCCAAAGCCAAAAAGGCGGGGGCGGGGGGGTAATTTCTGTTGTTGTCGTTCTGGTGTTCTGGGTACCGTATGAGATGGCAGCTTGTTCCAATCGCAACTGCCGGTAAGCCTCTTTGTTCTTCACTCTCCTTCATGCGCGGGCTGCAGGAGACCCGGACCTTGGATGCTTTTTCCCGAGGCGGAAGATCCCGTTACGTAAATCATGCGTCTCTTTGTCCCACCAGGCGCACGGATGTTTGCAACGTGCATCGGGAGTGGGCCTTGGACGAATGGTGAAGTTGTGGCGATGGGGAAAGAGAGAAGGACAAGCTCGTCCGAAGAGTCTCACCAACAAAAGATTCCCCTTTCTAAAAAGATTCAAACTTCCTCATAACCTTATCTCGGCCCTGCCTTTAACACGGTACCGGCATCCCGTCGACAAAAGGGACAAGGTTGTAAAAAATTAAACTTGACGAACGACCACATCAGATTATAGCCACTGACGTTTAACCCTCGTCACTCGCTCATTCATCCGCTGCTCTCTCCCTCTCCGGTGCAGTCAGTACCATAATTTACAGCTGGCAGAATCTTGAAAGCGGAAAAAAGAAAAAGAAAAAGAAAAAAGGTCTTCCAGACCTAATAAGGTTTTGCTGGGGTAATTGTTTTCTGGATTTCCGAAAGATTTCCTGCACGGGAGACACCCTGCATCTGGCCAATTAAAGTAGAGGATACCCCCCCCCCCCAAAAAAAAAAAAAAAAATCGAACGCCATGCCAGCATGCTTTTGGCTACCGTTACACTCACGGCAAAGAAAAAAGAAAAAAAACTTGTACTAGTACTCGAGTACACTCGAAAACGGCACGGTAACCGGTATACGAATAAACCGTCTACTTTCGCGCGCGTAACCCACACTATGCTTATGGAATCGCCCCGCATAACCCGCACTTCACTGAGCATACGAGTGGGCGCTCCTTGTGGACCTCTAATCCGCCCGCCGCCGTCACCGGCCTTGTCGGCGGACATTTGGTGTGCGCTGCAATTCATAGCGGGGTGCGGCGGTGACCTGTGCGAGCAGTGCTGCACCGTCCAGAGATGCCGCAACATCTCCTCTCCCCCTCATCCGGAGAGCACCACACTACGTGTCCCCACTGTGGTCGGTATTTGCTTTTGGAGGCACTTTTCCCGACCTCTTGTCGCTTGTCGGTACGTCCGCTTTTATCGTCGGCGTTGCCGGCGGCGCATCGGTCGGCGCATTGTGCGTTGGGAAAGGTGGGGTATGTATAAGGGCGCCCTGCATTGGTCTACGTACCCCAGTGCTTGTGCCTCGGGCGGGGGAGCTCGCGTTTAATATACGGGAGTTTTTCTCGAGCATGGGGTCCGGTTATACAATACATCTCCCTCGCTCATCTGGTGTAAAATGGTTCGGCCCCTTGTTCTCCCTATCGTACCGCGCGGTGAAGACCTCGGGGGGAAAGGGGGGGAGGTTTGCCTCTGGTTCATAGTTCATCACTCGTGTAGTTGATTTCTACAGCCGGATGCCCAAAATCGGCATCTTTCCTCGGTGATTTTTTGTCATTGGCCTCTCGCCTTTTCGTGTTCACTTCCCCGCAAAATGAGGATCACGCGTTACCGGCAGCAAGCTTGCTTAACCGCTACGGTTGGCTGAGACACGGATCGTG